GATCCATTGATATAATGAGAAAACACACCTCACAGATAGATAAGCAAACTGAATAGCATGCTACTCCGAGATCAACGCTACCAATCAATTTAATAAATTCAAGGACACAATCTCAACATATAGGTCAAAATACCTAAAATACCCCTAGGTCAAACCCTAGTAAAATCCAGGTCAAAGTCAACTGACTCAACCTAGTTGACTCAGTGAGTACGCGGGGTGTACTCCTTACGTATGCAGGGCTTACTATGCGGTTTACCAGGGATGAGGGAGCTGACCATGTACGCGCAGCGTACCCCTTGGTACGCCCAACGTACGCGGATGCTCTCCACTTAAGCCATTAAGTGCTTATTCCTTAAGCATTTACATCCAAAATTCAGATCCAGACTCAAAAGGATCTCCTTAACCATAAAGTTCCCAACTTTATGGTTTAGCATGGCTATTAAGATCTTAGCTCCAAAGACCCTAACTTTTATACCCGTTAAGACACTTTAGCTCATGCATGGAGAGAAACTAGTGACCAAAAACACATTTTTATGACTTAGCACACCCTACAACCTCTAAAAGGACAACTTAAACATCTTGGATTACGTCCTACTCACAAGGATCAAGTTTAGGGAAAAAAAGTGACAACTTTGAGCTAAAACTAGATACATAGGAAACATACACCATGATTGAAGCTTTTTACCTCCACAAGATGCACGATAAAGAGAAAATGCTAGATCCAAAGTGTAAAGTGAAACACCACAACCTCAAGGCTCTTCCTTCTACACCAAAGGCTCCAAAATGACACCAACAAGGGCTCTTCATGCTTCACAATGCACTCATACACTTTAGGGTTTCGAAATGAGGAAGGTGAAGATAAGAGGGTGCATGAGTCTATAAAGGTGCTTAAAGAGGGTCCAAACCATAAAAATTAAGGTTTGTAACAAGGCTGTGTACGCCCTACGTACTAGCGTACACTTAGTTACTAGCACGGAACCAAGTAGGCCCAGCGTACCAAGGTGTACACCAGCATACTAAGCTGCATCCGGAAATAACGAAAATGACATTGGGGAATATTATTGAAAACAAAACACAACCCACGGGTTAAAAGCAAATACCTGAAAATTATAGATGTTACATCAGGGTTCTTAATTGTTTCAGCGCCTCCAGAGTGTGGTTGGTCCTCCTCTACGGAGCGAAGGGATGATACAGTGAACTTTAAAACTGCCTTATAAAATTGTTCCTTAACCTAGGTTTGTGCTGCAATAGGTCCTCCTCCGCGACAAGAAATGTCTGCTTTTAGAAGATTGTTTCCTACCCCTTGCTTGTATAACTCGATTTTAGGCACATACAAATTTAATATATATATATATATATATATATATATATATATATATATATATATTAAAGTAGTATTTATATATATCATAAAAGTAAAACATCATGTTTTAAACGCATCGTCGTCTTACAATGATTATACTTACCTACTCTTTTTCTATAAGGAAGGTTTAATGAGGTACTTCGATTCTGAATGAGGTCAGCTTTTAAAAGCATTTAGTTCTTGCCACCCTCACCGCCTTCTTGTTTTCCGAGGCGAGTTACCAGAAGGGTTTGATGGGAAGATACGTCTCGTTAAAAGGTGTTAACTTAAAAGTATAAAATAAAATCCCGTTTTGTTAAGTAAAATGTGAATCTTATGCTACCGCATGAAAAATACACCTTGTCATTTATTTTGTTGGCTTTATGTAGGTGGTTTACTAGCGCATCAATGTGAGAATATAGTTGTGATAGGGTATGATAATCGTGATTCTCAAGCATTACTTGATCCGAATATCATCGTAGATTCAATGTTTGGATTCTTATCATCGGCTAATCCAATGATGAGTACCAAACAAGCATATAAGAGATTAACATGTTATTGACATATGTTAATAAATCTATAATGATCTTGGAATCTCATATAGATTGAAATTGGCAAAAGTATACCTACCTAAATAACTTCATTGTGTAATGACTAATCCACTTTGCACCTTGAAGACAAATATAGATCATTGCCTTTTATTAAATAATTTGTAACTGGGTAATTATTTTAGAAGGATTTTGATCAAGCTAATAATAAATTTTTTTTACTCTTATAGATGTCAGAAGGTGATGGTGTACCTTTTCTTCCTCCTCCTCCTCTCACATCATCATCAAATTTCTCACTGCTTCAACTCTTCTCGCAAGATAAGTTCAATGGTCCAAACAATCTGGACTGGATTCATTCTCTGAGGATAATACTTAGATATGAAAAGAAAAACTACGTCTTTGAAAAGTATCTCCATGAGAATCCTTTTAAAAATGCTACTATTAAAGAGTTTGCCAATTACACAAGGCCTTAAGCACTAAATCAAGGCCGCATGTCTCATGTTTGCGACCATGGTTCCTGAGCTCCAAAATAGCTTCGAAAACATTGGAGTGTATGAAATGAATGAGAAGCTCAAGGAAATGTTCCAAGAGCAGGATCGACATGAGCAGTTTAAAGTTATGAAGGCTCTTAATGGTTTTAAGCTTCAAGAGTGTGGTTCTGTAAGTATCCATGTGCTGAAAATGAAAGGGTACTTTGACAAAATTGAGAGACTATGGTTTCTATTCCCTCAAGAGTTGGCCATTGACCTAGTGCTTAAATCGTTGAGTAGTTCATATCATCAGTTTATTTTGAATTTGAATATGAACAACATGGAAAAGTCCTTAATGACGCTACATAACATGTTAAAGACTGTCCGGGGAAGTATGGTTAAATCGTGTAGCAGCAATTCAATCACCCCAGTTTTGGACAGTAGGGATGTGGTGTCAAAATAAAGAAAACTTATTATCCCGAAGGAATGGGAAAGTGAAAATTTGGAGGGTCCAACCCAAAACCCTAAGAAGGACAATTCCGATACAGCACTAGTTAATGATCCTAAGGAGGCCATTATCTTCTACTGCTAAGAGAAGGAACATTGGAAAAGTAGCTACCCAAAGTACCTAGAGGACATCAAGAAGAACAATGCCAAAGTAACTAGCACATCAAGTATATATATGATTAAAATTAATCAAGCTTCAACTTCTAACTCTAGGATACTTGACACAGGATGTGGTATTCTGTTCTGATGTGAAAACACTAAGTCGAAGTAGGAAGTTGAGACAAGGACAACTTGACTTGATGATGGGAAACAAGATTAGAGTAGTTGTTACTGCGATCGAGGATTTCAAGCTTGTTTTGTCTAATGAATTTTCAATTAGTTTAATAGATTGTTGCTATTCACCTTTAATGGGAAACATTATTTCCTTTCATTCATTGTATCTTGATAGTTTTACTTTTATTTTTGACAATAATAATGGTTGCAATTTAGTTTGGAAGAATGATGTTCTTCACTTTAAAGCAAGTTCGTGCAATGGCATTAATATAATTTTTATAAGAATAATGAAAAATGATAGCATAATGTTAAACATTGGTTCATCCAAATATGTTTTAGATATATCATGTTTATGGAATTGTCAACTTGGCTATATAAACAAGAAGTGAAACACCACGCTCCAGTTGTATAATATCTGTGTATCATTTAACTTAGAGTTAGATGATGTATGCGAATCTTGCTTACTTGGCAAGATGACAAAGGCACCATTCACAGGTGACTGTGAAGGAGGTAATGATTTATTGGACCTTATACACATAGGTGTATGGGGACGATTCAGGTCTACCACATGACATAGAGAAAGGCATTTCATCACTTTTATTGATGATTTCGATAGATATTGATATGTCTATTTGATTAGACATAAGTCTAAAACCTTCTAGGCATTCAAGAAATTCCAATGAGAAGTAAAGAATCAACTGCGCAAGAAAATCAAGATACTCCGATCTGATAGAGGCAGAGAGTGTCTCAGCGATGAATTCTATGATTATATTAGGAGTTATGGAATAGTTTCACAACTTGCTCCTCCAAGAACACCACAACACAATGGTGTGTCTAAAAGAAGAAATCTAACCTTATTCAACATGGTTCAATCTATAATGACTCGCACTACACTTCCAATACGTTTTCTAGGGCTATTCATTAGAAACTGTCACTTACATTCTAAACCTTGTACCAACTAAGAAGGTATCTAAGACACTATTCGAGATATGGAACACTACAAATAAAATTACATTTAATGGCACTATTTAACTATTTTATGCCACTATTTAACTGCAAAAATAGTTATTATTTTCATACTTTTAGTGGCATTTTTTTAACAAAAAAATTATATTAATAAATTAAATCTGATTTTTTTTATTTTAAATGAAATATAAAATAATTATAGGACAATTAAGATAAAACAAAAACAGAATATCATTACATCAGTTCAAACTTGTCTAGAAACAATAATTTCAATACATTTAGTTACACATTAAACTTGAAGAACTCCAAAATTAAAATAACATCAAAAACAACTACAATGAAGAATAATTGTGAAGGTCATTCAAGAGAGTTCGGTTTGCATATTGTCCACCAAAAATGACTAAAGTACCACCCACAACTGTAACTGATTGACCCCCACGTGAAACCTGCAACAGTAACACAAAACAGAAATATGTTTAAAGTCCATCAATAACAAATGGTTGAGTTTTGTTGATTGATTTGATTTCTTGCATAAATTTGACGAATATGTTGAGAAGGGTAAAATGGTCATTTTACTCTTATTCAAATAGTTCATTCTGTCCAAAAAAGAAACAGTATTTGTTCATACAAAACTTACTCCAGACATCATTTATGCAATGCATAAACATAACAAAAAAGTTTGCATATTGTGATTAAAATCTGATGTTCATGTGTATATTTTTACTTTTCACAGTGTATAATTTTTATAGTTTTAGAACACAATTAATAACTATATTTTGGAATATTGTTTGATGCTTATGCCTAATGGAAATAAAAACTAATGGAAAAAGATTAAGAACACATACAGGTGGTTTTCCATAGGTCTTCATAGTTGACCAAGTATTCTTTTGCAGATCAAATGCCTTCATTGTTTCAATAAAATTAAATACATATAAGAACAAATAGCTATATTTTGCAATTAAGTTATGTTTGACTAAAAAGGATAGTAAAAATTCAAACAAACCATTGACAACTTCAGAAGGATTCTTCAAATGTCCTACAATTGATATAAGCTTATTCCCTTCCCATGGTATCTACAAAATCAACAATGAAAATTATTTACAAATTTATAAAATCATTGCTCAATAAATTTTTATATATATAAAAAAATATCTTGATACTGACCAAAGAATACCCAGCACAAGGAGTTACTGTGACCGGAGCCTTAGAATTCGGTTTGACTTCAACCTTTGACCATGTCCAAAAGTCTTTTTAGAATGCTCGCCAAATTCCATCCTCATGCTCAAGTGGCTTATAAGTTATAATAGTTTGCAATTAACTTTTTTTTTTGCATAACAATATATCTCCTTGACATAAATGACATAAGATAGCTACAAAATCTGTAAGAAAACTAATTATGCATACTAAGTGCAAAAACAGGCTTAGATGTGTCAATAATCGAATGGAACAAATAGATGAACAAAAATGCTATGCCTTTCGAACAATGTGACCAAGATCCATAAACAACCACAAGAACATAATCAAAGTCCAAATGAACAAAAAATTATGTATTTAGATGTGTAAATTCTGAAACCAAACTTAAAACATTATTAAAAAAAAGAACATCATGATTCATGAACCACATTGTGTCTCTAATCTATCTCCAGAAAACTACTACAAAATCAAAAGATGCATGTGGAATTACCTCAAGGGTGAGAACCATAGCCATTTACTGTTCTTTCTTGCACTAAATCAAGCTTCTTCTCGACTAACACTTTGCCTTCATGTTTAACATTATCATCTCCATCATCTTCGCTATCCAAAGTAAACTGAGCATGATCCAGATGCAGCATCTCAGCTCCGAGTGGTTTATATTGCATTGATTCATTGCTCACGCCATGTTTTCCAGCTAAGTAAACTATAAACTCCAGCAACAAAACACACAAGAAGTGCAAGATGACAATTGAATTGCATGGTAGGAATGGCTCTAGCTCTATGAAACTCAGGATGTCCTTTACACCTGATTGTAAATTTTCCTCTACTCTTTTCAGGCATGAAGCAACCATTTATGATAGAGCTCGAATATAATGAAATCCCCATTTGAACAAACCACATCCCTTGCAGAACCAAACCAACTCCTCGCCCTAACCTAGAATAGTTTGATTTTGGGGTTCTGAGTTCGAGAAGTGTGGAGACGATACAAATACAAATTGGAACAAGGAGTAGATCATAGTAACGATTCTCGATCCCGTCTGGATCTTTCTTATGGATGTAAAACAGAAAGAATTTTTCGACGAAACCAAACAGACAGAGAACATTGAGGATTGATGATGGGAATTGGAATGGGAGCAGTGAGGAGGATCTGTGAACGTAGGAGGATGACAAGGGAAGAGGATATCGCAGTCAGGGTGGACGAATCTAGGTCGATAGGCGAAAGCGCATGGCGGAGCGGAGCATTGCAGTTCCCACGAAGAAGAAAGGCACGAGCAGGCGAAGCACGGGCTAAGGCACGAACGAACAGATACATATGAGCGAAATTTTTAGTGAAAATAATTTTGTTTTCCCGCTCAATGTAAAAAGGGGCGTTAATGAAAAGTTTTTAAGTTTTTTTCAATTAAAATTTTATTTTGGGTTCTAAGTATTTTATCAATTATTTTAGTAAAATATAAACTTTTAGTGGCACTTTAATTTATAATGCCACTAATAGATATGGAAATTAGTGTCATAAAAAAAATGTCACTATATCTATTAAAATTTATAGTGGCATAAACAAAAGTGCCACTAAAAGTATGATATAGTGGCACAAACACAAAATGCCACTAAAACTTTGTGCCACTAAATGTAAATTTATTTGTAGTGGAAAGGGACTCATCCCTCTTTTTCATGAATTAGAGTCTGGGTTATGAGGCTTTCATTCGTTGTAAAGTAGTAGACAAACTTAAACCAAATCTATAAGGTGTTACTTAGATGGTTATCCCAAAGATTCTTTTGGATACCTGTTTTATAGGCCTAATTAGAACAAAGACTTTATGGCTCGTAGGGCGGTCTTCTGAGAAAGGGAGCTGATATCTCAAGGAGCTAATGGGAGCCAGATTGATCTTGATGAGATTTAAGAATCGACCAATGAAGAACCTAATGTTGGCACTAGCCCTCAACAAGATGTTCAAGAATCTGTTGATCAATCTAACATCCTTCCACCTCCACCTCATAGATCTGATACATAACGTCATCCACCTAAGTTTTATAGTTTCCATATTACTAAGGAGGATGACAACTTGTTAGGTGATAATGAGTCGTACAACTATCAGGAAGCCATGGCGAGCCTAGAAGATGCATAATGGAAATAGGCAATGGAGAAAGAGATTCAATACATATATGATAACTAAGTTTGGAATTTGGTGAAACATGCACTTGGCACTAGAACCATTGGGTGTAAATGTGTCTTCAAGAATAAGAACGACATGGATGGGAATGTACACGCATTTAAATATCAACTAATTATGAAAGGTTATACCCAGACTTGAGTAAATCGACTATGAGGAACCTTTCTCGCCAGTAGAAATGATCAAATCTATTAGGATACTACTTGCCATAACCGCTTCCCATGACTAGAAAATGTATGTAAAGACTGATTTCCTTAATGGGAAATTGACTGAGGATGTTTACATGATGCAACCAAAAGGTTTTGTACAACACAAATATCTGAATAGAGTGGGAAGCGGGAGCTGTTGGAGAATGGTACCCGTAGCCATAAAAAGTTGGTTAAATTATTATAAATAGTAGTGTCATTTTGGGCTACACGCAAGAACAAAAATGAGGAAAACTAAAAAGATATATAATTATAGGGACTAGATTGTTAAGTAATTAATAGTTTAACTAATTATATGATTCTAGAGACTCAGGAATGTTACACATAAAAGATTTAAATGTGACGTTAATTACCAAAGATAAAGATAAATTATAAGCCCTGATAATTATACGTTAGGGTTTAAATCCTTACCCTATAAATAAAGTGGCCTAGAACCAGAGTCAAAGAGAGAGAAAATTAGTCAAGACCCTAAAATTTCTGAAGGTGCTCTCAAATCTTGAAAACCCTAATAGTCGTTTACCGTGTCGCAAAAAAGGAGTCTTTGCGTCGCGGTTAGTCGATTCCAGCTTCAGATATGTTCTGTTTCATGTTGTGGTCTCAGTGTGGTTTCTTCAATTTTGTTATTTGTATCTTGGGTGCGATCACAAGAGAGGGATTGTACGTTGGATTCTCTATGTCCTAACAACTGGCGTAATCAAAGAAGATGAAGAACACAAGTGTGTGTATTTTGTCTTTCTTGTTTTAGCTTATGACTTAATTGCCAAGATCTGGTGAATAGAGGTCCTTATGATTTGGTTATATTTTATATATTGCTTTCTGATGTCCCTTAAATTGTCTAAGGAATCTCATAACCCAACATGAACAACTTAGTCTTCTCTACCATTCAATCTCAACATTCCTTAATTACTCTCCCTCTCTCCCCCTCACTCTCACTCTCACACACACACACACACACACACACACACACACACACACTCTCTCTCTCTCTCTCTCTATATATATATATATATATATATATATATATATATATATCCTCTCAATCTCTCTTTATTTCTCTCACCTACTAAACATTTCTCTTAAAATCTTAGAAAGGCCGTTGAATCCTTCTCAACTTCAAATTCTCAGTGGTAAACTCCTTAGTATATTTATCTACTGAGTTCATCATACTAAGTACTTTCTTTAGCTTAGCAAACCCTTGATTCATCACCTTGAACTCCCTAGAGAACTACATCTTAAGCTCATTGGTCTTCTACATGTTAATACCAATAATCAACACAAAATCAACATTCAATATGAAGGTGGTGTAGGACGAGCTAAATCTCTTGAGGTAACAAAAATGATCCACCTCATGGATTATATACACGTTCCTCTTCATAAGTTATCAAACTTTAAGTACCACTGCTTAGAATTTTCCTTTATGTCATACATACTTTTATTCTTTTTCACCATATTCTTCTTACTAACTATAAGAGGACTCTCAGGTTATGCCTTGCATATGTTATCTTCCAAGATACAATCAAGTTGACCAATTCTATTCACATCTACCTATTATAGATGGAAATTATCAAAGACTATTGCATTTAGGACCGATTCATTGTAGTCATCTATGGAACCGGAGAATCACACTCTCCCTTTTGTTAGATTCCCTTGACCACTAATTTTCCCTTGCAAGTCGTTCCACCATCTATCTCATCCTTAACCCGAAACATCTAACTACTCTACAGTCCACTCAACTCGCCATCCATAGCCTTCTCCCACATTATAGAGTTTATCCTTAAGGTATTTTGTTTTATCCCATTCCTACACATCAATAAGTCATTGGTTGATGGAAAATACATCACTAGAGTACTTCTCTTAGTGGTCCTCCGGATAATAGGATATCTCATATTTGAAACACATGTAACTCCACCCTCAAAACTAGTATCACCAAAGCTGCCACTTATTCTAGATTTATTAGAGCTCACACTACTTCCTGGACATATATTTATCCTTTGACCAATGATATATATTGCATGATTGGGTCCTCCCACTGAAGAAACTAAAGTAGGACTATAAACACCAAAATGAAATGAAACCAACTTCCCAGACTTAGGCAGATTGCTTATCTTTGCAAAACTGACTATCTTTTGTTTGCTAATATCCCACGGCTTAGAAGAATTTGTCAAAATCTTTAGATATGGTATTCTCCTTTTGGATACAATATTCCATATTTTCTTCTCACCTATATTACAAAAACTTTGGTGGCATGTAGTGGATGTCCAACTCTTTCACGACACATGCTTCATCTTTAGAAACCTGCACCCTATACTGTGCACCCTCTTTCATGAATGCCTTTGGATGTCAGCTTAGAACCTCTTGCTAAGCTACTAATTGATTTCACTGTACCATACCAACTATCATGCAAAGATGATAATAATAGCAACAAAATGAATTCATCCTCGAATCCAATATCAACCGAATTCAACCTTGATATGATTGAATTGAACTCATTCACATGATCCCTCACTGAGCCACCCTCCTTCATCTTCAGATTCACTTGCTGCTAAATCAAGAAAACCTTATTCGCTGCTAAAGGTTTTTCATACATATTAGATAGTGCATTCATCAACCCATGATTAGTCTTCACATTAACAATATTGTAAGCTACATTATTTTCTAAGGATAATCTCACCATACTAAGTTCCTGCCGATCTAATAAGTCCCATTCCTCATGCTTCATATCTTTAGGTTTCTTTTCGGACATTGGTTCATGTAATTTCTTTTAGTAGAGATAGTCTTCGATTTCCATTTTCAAAAACCCAAAATGGTGACCATCTTGAAAGCAACTTTTTCAAGTGTCGGTAGCAGAACGTTCTGTCAATCGGGGAAAGTTTTTGGTGATAAGACCTGGAGATATCACAATTTGTCAATATTAACTCTCTCATCTTCAACCATAGCTCTAATACCCATTTATTAGGAAATTCAGCAAAACAAGTTAAACACATTAGTCAAAACAATAAACAAACTTCAAAACTTATGGAATAAAACTTCTGAACACTAAAATAGAAAACTAAACACAATATTAATGTAGTTTCGGTCAAAGTGACCCACGTCTACGAGAAAACGAGAGAGAGAGAGAGAGAGAGAGAGAGAGAGAGAGAGATGATTTTATTTAACTTTCAAGAATAGTTACAATCACTCATAAAGGTTTCACCTCACTTGGCATCTCAAAACAAAAGAATATTTCTTATTTGTAAACTACTCTTATGGATGTGCTCTCAACCTCACAATGATTTTCTCTTGTAAAATTTTTGCACGAGTATGTTGATGGAGATGTGTGCGTATTTATAAGAAAGCATGGAAAACCTTATTTTTGATGTGCCAGGCCTATCCATAATTAACCCATGAAGGGAATGCCATATTTGTCAGTTAATCACATAACACCATACAACTACTTCTAGAATCTTCAACCTTGACGTATGTGTACGACCACCTTCC